CCCATGGACTTATGAATGTCCAGTTTGGCCAAGTGGTCCCGAACCTGGTCCTCCTCTACTAGAGGAAACATTTCCTCTCTCCATACTGTCCCCCTTGCCTCCAAGGCCAGAGATTCATGAGGGGCAGTCCTAACAGTGAAGACTGAAGAAAAGAAGGCATTCAGCAACTCTGCTTTCTCTGTGTCTTCCACTACTAGGGTGCCCATCTCATCCAACAGTGGGCCCACATTATCCCTAACCTTTCTCTTACTGTTAACATACCGAAAAAACCCTTTTTGTTATTGTTAACTTCAGTGGCCAAGATGAGTTCAGCTTGAGCCTTGGACCTTCTTTCTCCTTATCTGCCAGGCCCTTTTTCCAAAGATTATAAGCCTTCTTTTTGTTCCTGAGTTCCAGCCGAAGCTCTCTATTTAGCCAGGCTGGTCTTCTTCCCTTCCTGCTTGTTTTTTGGGACTTGGGTATGGCTCTATCCTGCGTCTTTAAGAGTGCCTCCCTGAAGTACCACCAGCCTTCCTGGGCACCCTTGCCCTTAAGGACTGTCTCCCAAGGGACACTTTCAACCATGCTCCTGAAGAGGCCAAAGTCTGCCCTTCGGAAGTCCAAGGTGGCAGTCCTGCTGGCTCCCCACCTTGCTTCAGCAATTCTTGCTTCAGCAAGAATTGAAAATTTTATCATTTCGTGATCACTCTGTCCAAGACGGCCTCCAACATTTACATCCCCCACAAGACCTTCTGAGTTAACTATCAGCAGGTCCAGTAGGGCACTTTCCCTGGTCGGTTCCCTCACCAGTTGCGTTAGGAAGTTGTCTTCCACGCATTCCAAGAATCTCCAGGACTGTTGCCTCTCTGCTGTGTTGTATTGCCAGCAGATATCAGGGAAGTTGAAGTCCCCCATGAGTACCAGGGAGAGTGATCGTGAGGCCTCTGCCAGCTGCCTATAGAAAACTTCATCAGCCTTTATATCCTGGTTTGGGGGTCTATAACAAACTCCCACCACAATGTCTGCCTTACTGGTCTTACTGGTCTTCCCCTTGATTCTTATCCATAGGCACTCAACACTGTCACCGTGCATATTGCTGAGTTCTAGGCACATAATACTGTTCTTAACATAAAGGGCCACCCCACCACCTCTCTTTCCTTGCCTGTCCCTTCTGAAAAATTGGTAGCCATCGATCACAGCACTCCAGTTATGCGAGTCCTCCCACCACGTTTCTGTGATGGCAGCTAGATCAGTTTTCTTGCTGCATGATGGCCTCCAGCTCCTCCTGTTTGTTGCCTCGGGCTACTGCCTGGTCACCATCGATCCTCAGTTTTGGATGCAAGAATAACAGGGTCTCAGTTAGTGTTGTGTAATACAGGAGGACAAGCAGAAGGGTATGAAAGAAAAGCAATCAGCAAGAAAGCTGAGAAACAGGAATCTGGGAGCACACCATCTTTTTCAGCTAGTATTCACATTTTTTAAAAATCTTTGTGCAAATGGTATGAACTTGAATCCTAAGGCTAGAAAAGAGTTCAGTATGGTAAAAGAGAAAACAAAAGAATTCTCACTGATGAGGCCCCAAGGCCTGAAGTCTCTCATCCCTGTCTCAAAGAATGAGCAGTCTTCAGCTGCTGCATTGGCTCAGGGTTGTAAAATAGATTTCCATCCTACTGAAAATGAGAACTTCTGCCCTGCTCAGGGGAATGTTTAGGTGCTGCTGAGCTTCAGTTGTTATTGAAGATGTGCATTAGTCCTCATAAAACCCTTTTGATATAAAAAGCTTTAGCATACGTGGCCATCTAAGCAAAAGGAAAAAAAAAAATCAAACCAAACAAAAACCCCACCAGAAAATAAGGCATTAGCTGCACAATTATAAGACAAGAAAAAACCCGACGCAATAGACAAGAACACCAGAAAACTTAAGAGAGTAGAGCTGTAATGACATTTATTAAAAGGCATGCTACAACAACTAGAGTTAGGAAAAGAGTCAGGTATAGATACTAAGCAATCAGCAAATACACTAACCTAAAAGAAACAGAATATATTGTAGCATAAACAAAATCAAATTAACAATTCACTACAAAGTCAGAAAATAGATTTCTTTAATATTACATCTTTTCAGTTTTAAGTCATCTCAACAGCTATGAAATCCTTTTTATGCAATACCACAGATGCTTTTAAAGGAAAGCTGTTGCTTATTAAAATATACAAGACAATTGCTTTTTTAAAATATAAAAACATTTTACACTTCCATTTGTTCCCCAAAACACTTTTGGCCAGGTTTTAAAAAAAAAAAAAATAAAACCAAACAAAAAACAACACGAAACATGATGTTACAAATATTTACAGCATTTTCTTGTGTTAGATGAACATTTTTATGAACTGAAAGGGAACTTTTATGAGCAGATCACATAAAATGAGGGAATGTCAGCAATTCTTAGACGTGCTTTGTGTGTCTTGAATACAGTACTAAAAGTAGAACATTAACTTTTTGCCTTATCCCGCACCATTTGGTTCACATTGTGATGTCATTTTCCCCTGTGTTTAATCCAGCAGTAGTAGTCTCAAGTAAAGGCCACTTTGCATTGTGTCTTCCCCTCAGAAAGGGCCATGGGAGAAGACACCACAAAATGTCTCGGTAGAACCGGAACAGTCAGTCTTTGGTCAGAGAGCGAGGTGACGCTCGGATGCGAGACTCTGCCTGCTTAGCAACCTCTGCCTTGTGCTGCTGCAGCTCCAGGGCAAACTTCTGCAGAAAGCGGATTAACGTATTCAAAAAGAATTGGAAAGTGCTTAAAATGAACCAAGTACATAAGCGATAGCTTCCCGCTCATAAATAATGCACAGTTTCCAAGAACTAAAAAACTGTTTACAGTGATTACATTAGTCTGCTAAGGTAAAAGCTTTCTTCGTCTATCAAGGACCTTTAACTACGTCAGCAATTCATTTCTTTGGGACTGCTCTAGGCACAACTTGTTATTACTATTCGAAATTAGAAATATGTGGGTTATGCTTGGGTTCTTGCATATTGCAGTACAAAAGAAAAAAAAAAACCTGCAATGGTAAAAACAGAGGGATAATTCAACCGGTATTGAAGCAGCTGCAATTCACTTCAGGTATAATTAGTGGACAACATTCATTTTTACCGATATAGACATAAAATTTCTATGGGGAAAAAAAAAAAAGAAGTAGCATATTTAAGACAGCAATAGACATGAAAACCCCTAAACATAAAACTACTGAAGGCACATAAACTTTGGTCCAATTTTGTTCCTGTCCCCAATCCCCTCCTCCTGCAATAAAACCCTGAAGTTAAATACCTCAGAAATTTTCCATTCTTTCTTGAAATAATTCACAATTCCTAACTGTTAGGATTTGCTTTAAACAGAGCAGTCAAACAGTCTTGTATACAGCAAAGAAATCTTCAGAAGACAGTTAGAAGATAAAGCTAATTTAAAGAAAAAATTCCATGCAATCTGACCAGTATCCTTTCAGCACAACAGTAAAAGCATTGTCTGGGAGTTCTGCTCCGATTAACAACACACCAGGGCAAAAGGTAAAGCAAAACTATGCTTTTTGTAAGCAATTCACCTCTCATTTGAAAAAACAGCAGAATGAGCTAACAGTATACAATGACAAGTAGTAGATCCATATCCCTTATAAAAACAGAACTCATCACTTTCCCACTGATATGAATCAGAGAAGCACAAGATATTTGGTCACACAACCACGCTGGCATATAATATTATCAACAAAGGCAAACAGTTTTTTCGGCATACAAACACAGGTTTGCCATCGGTAATCAGAAAACATCATATATAGGCAAACCTTCTTAGATACGTGGATTATTGTAGGCATAAAAAGGACCTCAATTTATGAGTGCACAGAAAAAGTGCAACTGAAAGGACCGATAGACAAGGCAACCAAGTCAAATTAGGAATCAAATTTCCAGAAATTTGTTCTAATGTTAAAAGACATTTGAAGAAATCCAAAGAAGCAAAAATTTTACCATTACAGAACAAATCACAGGTCATTTGAAAAGGCACTAAACTGCTCCTGGGTTGTTAAAAAGGCCTTACTACACTTTGAACCAAGTGTGCATCCACCAAAAAAAAATTGGAGCTAGAGGTAACCCAGAGCTGATTTGTGGATTTGACATTTGTGGATTTGAGGCAGAGAACTCTACCCTTATCCATTTCCAGTACCTGTAGTAACATTTGTGTGGTGTAGGGGAGGACTTTGTAGAGTAAGGTAGAAGGTTGGACTCAATGATCCCAAGGGTCTCTTCCAACCTAGACGATTCTATGATTCTATATGATTTTGACCACTACTGGTTTAGAGTACAAGTTCTGGGTCACACTACGCATGTTACCAGAGACTTCACAAATTATTTAAACAGCAATCAAGAACCTATATTAAAGCATAGAATACCAACTTAAGGCCACAGTACAGAGAAGATGGAGCCAGAATCTTCTCGGGAGTTGCACAGTTAACAGGACAAAAGGCAGACACAGGATGCTGTATCTTTAAAGCCTAATTATGTATTAGAGGGAAAAAATATTCACAATGAGAGCAGTCAAACATTGGAACAGTGAGAAGAACAGAGAACTTGTGAAATCCCCAATGTTGGAAATACTGAAAATTTAACTGGACAATTCTCTGAGCAACTGCTCAAAGATGGCCCTAATCGGAGTAAGAGGTAGAACTAAGGCCACCAGAGATTCCTTTCGAACCTACATCATTGTAAAAATCTCTAGAATAATCCCACTCTTTCCAAAATCCTGTCTTTTCACAGATATCAAGGAGGCTGGTCATACATGCGTTAGAGAATCAAAGACTGAGATGCAACCATGCTTTTCCAGACAGGCACTAATAAATCAATCACAAAGTATAAGAATTTATCCCGATCCTTCACTAACAAGGCATTGTGATAAACAAAGGGTTATAGTTTTGCTTTTAAGTATTCAAGGAAGAATGCTGAATGAGATAAACTAGCTTTAACTAGTGCCTTCATTCTGCTAAACAAACATTAAGATGTACTGTTAGTGTTGAAGCTTGTCTGCACTTCTTCTGAAAGCGAATCTCCCTAAGAGGCAGCATCTTGAAGATATATACAGATCTAAAAGTAAGTTGACAACAGTTCAACTGCAGAAATAGAGCAACAACAAGGGAGAATTTTAAAAAGATACATGATAAATGTATTACAAAATCAAAAAGCAAACACCATAAACATCTACCACCCAGATTTTTCTTAAATTAAAAAATAGTAAATCTTTGCTAACTTAAACCGTAGGTGTCTACATGTCAAACTGCAAACAGTCCAGAGCTGACAAGAGCTATACTCTAAGTTAAAACTGAGAAATTATTCCTTTATCTTTTTGAGAGACACTCAAGAGACCCTCATCCCTTTATGTTTCATTAAGCTTTCCCATCTTCTGCTAGCAGAGTCAATAAATTAAAATGCATGTGGTTCACACATCTGTATAAATGTATAACATATTACACAGACAGTATGCATATACTGCTCCTCATATTATATGTGCCAACATTAGCTCTCAAATATAAGGTTCCTTTTTTTCTGCTTTAGAGTTATATTCAGATCTAATATGATTCCTCTCCTCTGTAGCTGTAATTTCTTCTTAAGAAAAGTGACAAAGCATATTTTATGGATAATGGCCTGGTATTACCAAACCAATTTATGTGCAGTAAACAAGAAACATTCCCAGTCCAGCAAGATTCTCTTTAACTGACAGCAATGTGACTGCTAAGAAGGTAAAACATAGACATAAATTAGAATTAAGTGTCTTGGTGAAAAAGGGCCTATGCAAATGAATAAGCCTGCTTACAACTCCATTTTGCTAAAATCATGAACGTGTAACTTTTTAATAAGATGCTCTGGCAACACACAATTACTTTTTTTCATGATTTTTTTTTTTTAAATTTATTTCAAACTTTATCAAACTGAATTAGCTACTTCAGACGGGGGAAACCGGAAGGACTACCTCAAATCCCAAAGATAACATTGTCTATTATTCCTAAACCAAATTAACCTTCCAGTAAATAGTATGCTCTGAATATTATTACATAAAATACATATATTACATCTGAATATAAATCCGGCACCTGGGTCGGGGCAATCCCAAGCACAAATACAGGCTGGGTGGAGAACGGATGGAGAGCAGCCCTGAGGAGAAAGACTTGGGGGTGTTGGTGGATGAGAAGCTCGACGTGAGCCGGCAACGTGCGCTCATAGCCCAGAAAGCCAACTGCATCCTGGGCTGCATCCCCAGCAGCGTGGCCAGCAGGTCGAGGGAGGTGATTCTGCCCCTCTGCTCCGCTCTGGTGGGACCCCACCTGGAGTACACAGCTCTGACTCCTTCCCCAACAGAAGAAGGACATGGACCTGTTGGAGCAAGTCCAGAGGAGGGCCACAAAGATGATGAGAGGGCTGGAGTACCTCTCCTGTGAAGACAGGCTGAGATAGTTGGGGTTGTTCAGCCTGGAGATGAGGAGGCACCAGTGAGACCTTCTAGCAGCCTTCCAGTGCTTCCCAGGAGAGATGGGGGTGTGCCAAATAGCACACTTCTGTTGCAATATAGAGGTCTGTCACCTTCTTTACTACGAGAGGCTGCTGCTCCTCTCATTAGTTTACATACATTAAAAGAAGGCAAGCTAGTATCTTGCCGATTTTGCAAAAATAATCCAGAGAGAAAATTTGAAAAATCCTACTCCAGAATACACAGATCATGGCAGAAACATGCCGTTTCTTCTAGAAAGATAGAACACAGTTATACTATTCATACCAATTAATGAAAAACCAAAATGAATGAGTGACAAAACATTACAGCAGAAACAAATTCTGCAGCAGTTAGAAGTAAACAAATGCTATGTTTGAGAGGAATGATTCTTTAAAGAGTGGTTAAGTGAACACTAGAAAGAAAAATCTCTTAAAATGAAATTTAAGTTTTTAAAATCCAACTGGAAGTCACTTAAGTTCATACGTACTTTCAACACCAAAACAAGCTATGTCTTAGCTCATTCCCCAAAGAGAAATGGACATTCGGTATCAAACAATTTTTCATACTTATAATGGAAGGAATGGTAGCTTTCTTTACTTGAAGCTTAATATTGAAAGAAAAATGCAGTGAATATTCTGAAGTGCATGTTTCTCAACAAGTTGGCTGAAATGCAGAAACTGGAGTGAATTTGCTGTTTGGTCTTTCTCTATAGGTTTTATATAGTGCATTTTTTCTGGGTGTGAAAAGTGCAACCAGGTAAATTCAAAGAATCCCCATACAATTATGCAATGAGTTAAATCTTATTTCCACCTCTATCCAATCTCCACACCAAACCACAAGAGACTAGAATTCGGAGTTTTACTTAATGGAAAAAATATTTTGAAGTATCAAGGAAAACATTTCCAAAAAGACCAAAAAAGACAATTTTCACAAAACCCATAATGTATTTTTCAAGATACTTCAGATGAAACTCTAAGCTATTGTATCATAAGAACATAGTAAGAACATAGTAAGGCACATAATCAGAAATCAGGTAAATACACAGTAATTTAGGTATTACAGTTATCTAATACCTAATGGTATTATAGGTACCATTATAGTGGTACAAAAAATTCTTGAAGTTTGATTTTTCTGCCCCCAAAGATGACCTTAACAAAAATAACTTCTTAAAAATTTGTCAAACCATCATAGACCTGAATATTTTCCATAAGATTGTAAACATTTTTTTCTTTAAAGAAATGTAAAAAATTCTTTGAAATCAGGACTATTTTTTTGTCTTATTTTCTCCAAAGTACTATTATACAACATCACTTCATAGTAAAAATAAGACTTCAAACTTCCATTCCACGGTTTAGTCAAGCTAAGTCTGATACCATTTAAAATATCTTTTACTCCACAGAGAGAAGGCACTGCCTTTCCTCTAATAATTTAACCCATATGAACAGCACAGACTTTCTGTTTGTTTTTTGGTTTTTTTTTTTTGTTTTGTTTTTTTTTGGTTTTTTTTGTTTTTTTTTTTAAAGTTATTTGTAAAGATTTGCCAAAGTATGAACACACATCATGGTAACATAAATACTATTTAGAGGACACTCACAGTCAGTGCTTGCTTTTCTTCAGGAAACCCAAGCACTATTTCACATTCAAATTAGTGTTTAATCTGTCTAGAGTAGATTTACCGTTTTGTTAGAAATATTCTGTTTGGTATATTGTAAAAGCACTCAAAAATGTTTTGTAAGGCTGATTTCAAACAAAAGCTAAAAGTATGCTCTGAAAAAAAATTTTAAGTAGCAAATTTAATGATAAATATTGTTGCTGAAGCAATTCTACAGAATATTCTTTCTATGAATGAAAATTAAACTGGCAGCTAACATCAGAAAAGACCATCACTTAATTCTTTGTATATGAATGAGCTTTTTCTCTTAAGAGACAGAGCTGGTCACAGCTGTTTCAGTATCTATTTGAAGATTTTACTAAGACTGTGATGCAGCCTGAAAAGGAAAATTCACGGAAAAGTCAGACTGTACATCTTGAGAAGGAAATTCGGAGGTGATGGTTTTCTCCAAAGTCGTAATTGTGAAGCTCAATGAGAGCGTGAAGTGCTTCCTCCACAGAGCGCAGCTGGATAAGAGCCATTTTGCCATCTTTCCTGAAGTACAATAAAAAGCATTATTAATCCTAACCAAATTTTCATTGCAGTAGCCAACACAGAAAATGACAAAAGTATTTCTTCAGCCACATCACACACACTGACCTCTTCTACAGCGAAAGAATCAGAACTATTTATGCACCTGCTAAAATGAGGAAAGAATAAAGCTATACAAATTTTGCAGATTGGCATCCTACTGCCATGCCATTCTTTCACTATGCTGCACTTCAAAAACAGGATCAAAATAAGGCTTGAAGACCTTTAAGAAACACTTGCATTGTCCATATATATGAGATTATTCTAACAGTTACGATCATGCTAAAATAGAGCTGCCAAGCAATCTAAATGGATGTTAGAGCATATTCGTTGTCATTTTTTACCTGATATTTTTCATATGCACAGCTTGTATTTCTTTAAAGCGAGCATGAACATGTGGAATTTGCCAAAAGATTGAATATTTTTCATTTAATTTTGCTAACCTAGTATTCAATTTAAGATTTAAAGATTAGAATAATCATAAAAATTGCCAGAGCTGTACAGCTTTTGCCTGTAAATGTACGCACATGGAATTTTGCCTATAGTTAATACACACATGGAATTTTCCGAAAAAGCAATTAGCCATCCTCCAGGATAAAAGCTTGCTCAGCATATTTACAAGAGAACTTACTGTAAGAATCTCAAGGCTTTCACAGTAAATCCCACATTTTCAAAAAGGTTCTTCAGATCATCAACAGTAACAGAAGGCCTATTTGAAAAAAACACACAAAATCAAAACAAAACCCTCCCAAACTTGTGAAAGAGCACAGAGTTCTTAATAGTATAAAATTCTCAATTCTGGCTTCTAAATTAAATTTGAACAGCAAAAAGTTTCTTCACCAACGCAAGCATTGTCAACAGTTTATCTGAAACAACTTGGTTTGACACTAAGATTTAACACCACACTGTGCTACGAAACTATTTCAGATACATTCTATGGCTCTTCATCCTCCCCCGTTCCCCACTTAGTTAAATTCAGGTTCCATAAAAATCACTTAAGATCTTAGCCAGTAACTTCAAAAATACTTTTCATCTTGTAATTACTGTGAGCGTGCTTCACATATTTTCAATTTTGAAATATTTCTATTTTATTAAAAAGCCATTTTTTAAGTGTTGGGTTTGTTTTTTTTTTTCTCTCTAAAATTATTTGGACAAAATTCCGTTGTTTTTCCTTTCCCTCCCTGCACAACTGCCAAACAAAAAAAGTCTGTAAAATCTTATGCTTGGCTGTCACTCCACACATTGTTGACAATATTCTAGACAGGAAAAATGGTTGTTTCAGTTTTAAAGAACACACTTCTTAATACTTTTAGTTAAAAAAAAAAAAAAAAAAAAAAAACAATGCCAGTGATGAATCTGATGTAATGTAAAAGCAGTATATTATGTAAAAAGCTATGTCTTTAATATTTGCAAAAAATTTTAATACAGGACGTAATATGTGCAAAACAAAAGAACTATATTAAAATTCATAAATAAGAGCATTCAGTAAGTCTCTTTCCTAACAATAAAAAAATGAGAGTTAAAGGCTTCCCTTATTGTTAATTATGCAGCAGAACGAGCCAAATTCTCAGGAAACTGTAAAAGTCCAAGGAAATTTAAATCTTACATCAGACTTTTTAACTTAAGAATATAACCTAAAAATCATCTTTGCAAGAAGATCACACGCGTAGATACTCACGGGATGTTGGCAAGGTGCAGGGTGGCAGATGGAGGAAAGACGTTTTGGAAATTCTTCGAGCCAGGCTTCCTAAAGCGATGTAAAGGGCTATTGCTATAGTCCTTCGTCAGACCTTGGTCCTGTTGACCCTCACAAGGAAGCTGAACTGCCTGGTGCTTTGAAAAGGTAGCACGAAGGACCCTTCCATAAAGCCTCTGTCCATTCAAGTAGTTGATGGCTAACCAGTGGAAATACAATTTGAACAGGAATGGAGGGAAAGGAAGCAAAAAAGGATTCTTTGAATACTAGTATTGCCTTCTATTTAGTGTCAGATTCCACATTCTAAATTTAAACTGCAACTTCAATATTTGCTAGGGGGGCTATGTCATGACATTATATTTAAAACAAGTAGAAGGATGTAATATAACCTCCAGTCTAAATGCAACAAAAAGGCAAACCATGATTTCAATAAAAAGCAGTTGATTATTCTTAAATAGCTAGTTATAGGATAAACTACTGGAAAACTGTATGATGTTTTAATTCTAATATTTATTAGATTGAGATTCACAGGAATTTTTTTCAAACCACCACAGGAAATGTTGGGTTTTTTACATGAAAACAAACAGATCATTATTAAGATACACAAGGAAAAGTTTGCATGTGGCAAAGCATCACAATGATGGATTTGTTTATGCTCGTCACTGACAGATGGCAAATTCCTCATCTATATCATGCTCATGCTAGTCAGAAGCATAACTTTGCCTTAAAAATCAGTACCTAATTGAGCCTGGTTTGCATCTGCCATCTGAACCAAAGCATTTTCTTTTTTCTTAAACATGATCTTCACACGATGCACGTCACCATACACACCTGTGGGAATACAGAAAGGTAATTTGTCCAGAGCATTACTACAAACAGCACAAGGGCAAGTCTGTTTCTTTTGAATCACCACAGATTAATCACCACATTAAACAGTTTGGTTAGAATATTAGTATGAAAGAGAGCTTTAAAGTTTGTGTGTTATATTCTGAGGCTCAGAAATAGGGGAAAAAAACCCAAGATCTTAGTCATATAACTACAGGCTTATGTTCAGCTTTTAAGAGGACTTTAACACTGTTGGACTATTTAACAAAAGCATATTAAAATATTAGTATGCCAACAATCATTGTCCTCTTCAACTAGTGCATGTGCCAATTCTGTGCTCCATTTCCTCTGGTGCAATCTTTGTTTTTTCATCTTACTTTTCTTTCCCATTCTTTGAAGTAAACAATTTGAACCACATACTAAAATTCTTCTGACACTGTAACTATTTGCCTTTTTAGTACCTGTGGCCTACACCTACTGACTCAAACTACTGTTATTTTAAAACCAGCACATTTTCTTGTGCATTTTCTGAACAAGGACAGAAGAATGGAGCTTGCATTAACCACCATGCACCAGATTATTAAAAAAAATACTAGCCCTGCAGTTATTTAAGGTACATTTGACATATCTTACCAAATAAGATGAAAAGTCCATCTGGTGTGATGACCTGTTTAAATGATAAAATGAGTATATTATTTTTAAAGCCGTGCAAATAAAGAAATCTATTCCATAAGTGCGTGGTAAACAAAAAGAATGGAAGAGATGCTGCACACTAATAAATAAACATATCTCTCCAAAAGCCATTCCCTGCAGTGACTACAGTGTATAGCATTCTTGTTAATATATATTTTCTATGCACATATAAAATATTTAAACAAGCTAACACTTCAGCTCATGCATTTTCATCATTCAAGGCTCAGTCTGCCATGCTGCCGAAGTTATTAATATTTTAAGTGGCTTAATTACTTGAACTTATTCTTTCCAAGCTAGCAGTTCATTCCCTGAAAAATGAAAGACATTTGCTAAACTAGAAGCTGAAAAGAGCATTCAAGAACCCCTTTGTATTTTCTAAACAGCAGAGACTATACCTACAAAACTAAAACCAGTTCCTTCAAAATGTGGTTTTGTCTTCATTTTTGTCTCCATCTCTGTATGTGACCATGACACACTAAAGTGACACACGTACCATTTAAATGTTATATATGAAGTATAGAAAGTGGTACTTAAATTGCGTTCAATTAGAATCTGTGAACAGGAAGCTAAATATTGAAAGAAATCAGTTTTCTTCCGCGTTTTTTAATTAAATCCTTTTGTACCAAGCTCCTCGTGCACCAAAGAAGAAAATTTACACCCTAATGTGGCCAAATTTTATTCAACTGAGGCAAACGTTTTGCTAGTAATGAGTACTAAAAATACCTGGGAATCAGAAGCACTACTCGCACTCTCTGGCCCTATTATTTCTCAACTTACAACATTTGAGATGTTGTAAGACACACCTAAATTATTTAAAAACAGAAGATACTGCAGCCTAAGTGTAAGCCCATGCACTTTTATCATTAGCATTTAGTAATAAGGAAAAATTACTGCCAATGTAAAATTTAAATGCTTCTAAAGTTTATCTATCGGGCTCAAATATTTTAATTCAGCATAGAGTTTATTTAAATAAACTTCTTAACCAAATGAGGCTGCAATATTTCTACTAAAAAAGTTTTCTGGAAGACAAAACTAGCTAATTTAAAAACTCATGAAAGAATGTTCAAATGCACACTGAAACCCTGTAACAGGGAAGAAATATAAATTGAAATAAGGTCAACCAGATTTTCCATTCACAGAAAAAGAAGTGATAGGGCTCAAAAAACCACTGCTAAAGAAAAGGTGCTACACAATTGCCAAGAAATATATTTAAAACAATTTATATTTCCAACAATTAGTGTTGCTGTGCAGTCTTATTTTTTACCTATTAAGAAGTTGAGCATTATTTAATGTATTTGTGTTGTATCATGTATTGCACCACAAAGTCCTACATGACAACTTTTAGATATGATTAGTATGAAGTAAAGCAGCAATGTCCTAAAAATAGCTTTAACCTATGCTTCACACATGCAAGACCACACTCTTTTAAGATTCAAGAGAATCATCTTGAATAATCAGCTGCAGAAAGCACATCCACATCAGAAATTATCTGATAAGATATATTAACAAATCAAAGAAAAATTTACTCTTCTGATAGTCCTAACCTGCAGTTGTTTCTTTTGATGCTTACTGTGGAATTCAGCTATTAGTACAAAAACAGAAACACAGCAATTACTCAGATTAAAGGAACTGGTCAACAGATTTTTAAGCCTCAAAAATACAAAGATAACGTCCCTTTTGCCAATAACTGCTAATTTTATCAGTTTTAAGTTAATTTAATGAGTGTGTAAAATGAACGAGAATTTTACGTTGCTGTAATAGAACTTCTTGTCAACAGCCAAGTAGAATTTTGTTTTAAGTCATGGTCTTGGGAAAGCCTGACATTTTTTAAAGATATGTACATTGCTTTTAATTAAGCATGGGTCAACGCATAATATTTGAGAAACAGGAGTAAGCTTATAGAACAGGCTATATCATTTCCACTATAAAAACTATCCAAGTTGTCCTTGGCAATTTTACTGCCAAAATATGAGAAAAAAATAAATATCTGTGTGGCAGTACAGAAAGTGAACACATGTATTTATTAACTTGGATTTACAGGGATGTCAATAGCAAAGTGCACCTGTGTTCTCACCTGTGTTCTTCCTCTCCAACCTGGGAAAATTTGCAAAACTAGAAAGATCCTATGAGTGTTCTGAAAGGTACTTGTTTTGGCATGCTTTTGTCTCCTTTTCCTCTTCCCTCGTATTTCTCTATTTGTTTTGTAACAAATGAAAAATTTTTTGGCTTCTCTGTGATAACGTAGCACACAGAGGAGTCACATTGACAGAGATAACAGTAAGTTTATTCATAATATATGTTGTTTACCTCCTCAAACATTTTTCATGTCTGACTTTTCAGAGTAAAGACTTTTCTCATAGACTTTTCTCTAACCAGTAACTACACTGCTAACATTAAGTTTTCTAAAGTAAATTGTGTTAGGAAGCTCTTCACTGCTGACTGGTATTTTTAAGCCTCATCAATATTGCAAGCTATCTCAGGCAAGAATAGAGCTGTCCTGTCTTTCACATCAGCATAGAAATTTCCTCTCTTAGTCCTTCAGCTAATGACAATTTGCAAGAAGGCTTCTGTCAGTTGGTACAAGTTGATACTTGCATCAGTTCCACCAGTCAAACTCACTTCAGGGTTGAGGTTGGTGACTAGTAAAACAGAGTTTCCTGGAACACCAGCAGCACCAGGAGCAGTCATATGTCCAGGCACTGCAGGTGTGGTGACTGCAAGAGAACCAAGTCCTCCAGGAAGAGCTGGAACTGAAAGACCTGGAAAGGTATTAATAGCATCACTTGACTTCTCAAAGTGGAAAAGACATTTTAGAAAAAAAAAAAAAAAAAAAAAAAGTTTATTTTTAAAAAAAACGAATTGTGAGACTGGTTTTGCAAGTAAAGCCATAAAGAATTTTGTTATATACCATCTGGACATCTGAAGTAATGTTGTCAAGGTCTTTCAGACATTGTTTAAATCCTGTACGTGAAAAAAAAAAAAAAAAAAAAAAAAGCAGGTTATGTTTGATAAAAACATCAATATTCAATTAAAAAAAGTTTTTAAGGAATTTAGCTATTCCTAGTACCTGACCAATAAAGCAAGAAGAACACCCCACCTGCCAGAGATGAAGAAATATTCAGCTACACCCAAATAAAGAGGGACATAAATTGCAGCCCAAGAAAGAAGAAAAATAATTTAGCACAAAAAATTATCCTGTGCTAGAAAGGAAAAGATCACTGAGTTTAAAAGACCATTTATTTCTATAGCCAGAAAAGGAGAGAATTCCTGCATTAGCTTTGAATGCCACTGATGTCTTACGGTTTTTAGAAAAACAGATGGTTAGTTTCTTCTCTTGCAGGTAATCTTTATCACACCACTTAATTTCTTCACTTATTAAATTATAAACTACATCAGTACATGTTTTTTATTACAGAAAGTAATTTTACTGAATAATATGAGAAGGAGAATCAGAATGACTCAAATTAACATTGTGATCTGAATGCTCTATGTGAAAACAATTTGCTCTGAATGCAGGTGTGTTCAGATAGACCACTAGCCCAAAATGCAAACACTTCTTTAAAAAATAGAAACTTACCAGCACCTTGAGCAAAGCCCATGGCTGGGGGAAACCCTGCAGCGCCTATGTATGGTGGAAAGATAACATTATGGGTGCCTAGAGAGAGCAGACACATCCGATTAAAATGGATTTTAAGATTTTTAGAATACAGAATGAGATTCTCAGCAACGAGAATCAGCTTCCAGTGTTGCTATTCTGGCTTCGGTCCATGACTACATCTTTTATAAAACATTTGGGTTAAAAACTCTCAAAATCCAAGATTCTATGTTTTACAAAGATAATTTTCAGCCACTTTTGAAGGCAAATGTTCCAATCAGCCTCAATGTCCCTCTCTAAAATGAAGTCAGGGCAAAATGTAATTTAGTCAAGTTTGAATAGGAATCCATTAGAGTTAAGACATCTATGGTGTAATGTTCAATAGTTTTTATTCACACCACAGAAATGCATTCTAGAAATTTTCTGGAAGGAAGTACACTCAAAGACATTTTGCAATGATGAAATGCAGCTATTTCCTAGATATGTCTAAAACCAGTATGGGCTACATAATACAAACAACCACAATGAATCAGAGGTTCTGAATTTAGTTACTAGCTATTGAGATGCATGAAGTATATGCATTTTGCTTTTTAAGAAGATGTACTTCTTCAGCTTGTATTAATTCATAAATAAGCAGTGGTTTTTATGATTCTCCTGGCCATCACAAGCATTAAGCAGATTTGGAATAGCAACATTTGGTGAGTATCAGCCTCGAAGATTGCTCAGTGATTTTCACAAATAACATGTGGACTTAAGTGCTACCCTGGGCCGCACACAAACTTGTGTTCTAGGAGGCAGTTAGACACAGGCTTGAGCTGGGGATTCTTCTATATGTTAGAACACTAGATTTTTATTTTTTAAAAAGGGGCACGTATAATCAGCAAATACATCCTGCAACACGTCCATTTTACTACTCAAACCTCCACCATTGACAAAAATAGCTACATTCAATAGCAGATGGCTATTGGCAGGGGTGATGCAACACCTTAAGAAGTATCTGTTATGAATTACAACAACAACAAACGAAACAGACACCACAGATCAAGGATTCATTAATTCTGCATCACATTATACCTCCTCTTATCGGTAGCAACAAAGTGTCTCTCGTACAAACAACTGAATACATTTATCACACCAAAGCAAGTCATTGTGTTCTTGAAATACACGTGCTGGTGCATTATACTGACAAGTTCTGGCAATACAGGTATTAATCACTCATTCACAATCCAAGAATGGTAATGGAAACATTAATGAAGAAATAGATAAAGCGCTTTTATTCTGCAAAATAAGACCTGCATGTCGCACACTGATACCAAAATCAGGCATGTAAAAATTGTCAGAGCCAGCACAGAAAGATCTGGAATTCTTTGTTGCATTTTTTTATGTGTAAAATCATTTGCTTCATGGCTAGCTGCTAGCTTTCAAAGCAAGCTAATTCATGTATCTCTGCTTATGCTGGGTGTGGGAACTCTGCAAATGCAAAACATGTACAAAATCTGCTTCTGTATAGTGCAGTATCTTTATTACCAAAAATTTAAAAAAAGGAGAAAAAAAAAAAAAGATAAAAAAGCCCCAAGTTTCAAGAGCAGTTCAGGTTTGCTATGAAGACAACTTCAAGTCTACAGAAAAAAAATGGATGTATTATTCTGGTAGTTACCTGCTTTATCTTGTAATTCTCCAGCAAAAGCTACGTACACTAGTAATAACATAGGAAGTGTAAGTGCTGACATAATTCCCAACAACTTTTCCTCATGTCATGCAACTGAGGACTATCAGAACATGCCTGTGGCAATAGATGCATGTTGTTACTACTGACAGAAAGGCTGCAAGCATGCTTCTCCCTGTCTACAGCTTCCTTTTTTTTTTAAATAAAAAATAAAAATATCTATGCATTTGCAACACTATGACTGCACTACAAATGTTGATACAGACATCAGACTCTTCTTTACAGCAGCACCTCTGCTGCTCTTACTATTACAGTAAGTGTTCAAAGTGAAACCTAGCAAAGACATGCTTGGCAGAGTGAGAGGGAAGGAAACGGAGAAGCATTCACGTGCTACCCTCCAAAAGCACATGTACAATATTATCTCCGCCCTACAAGCAAGTTTGTCCTTTATCTACTTTAACTGTACTTTCATTGACATTTCAAATTGTGTAAGTACAATTAGTCAGAACATACCAGATTTATAACAGCACAATTCCATGCTGCTGTATGGTAAATCCTTGGAAAACTTAGAAAGATGGCTGTACATTATGTAAATGTACTGCCTGAAAGGGGACCAGCAAAATCAGTCAATAACGTAGTGAGTTCAAGTCACTTTAATCGAAGCCAGCAAAGCCAACTGTCCAAAAAACCAAACCAAACCAAGTATCTGCCCCAACTATGACAGAAAACTGAAGAAAAAAGGGGAATTCTTCCCAGGCCTTGCTACTGTTCTAACCAACTGGACAGCACTTAGATACGTATTCAACAGCTGAGAGAGTTCTTAGCTGCATAGTATTGCTAATGGTTGTCATAAGAGAGAGGAAAAAAAAAAAAAAGCTCAAATTGCCCTGTGAGCACTTCTGCAAGGTCTTCAGATTGATTAAATGAGTATGGCTGAGTTATTTATGCCAAAAAGGCTTCTCCAGTGTGGCTTCAAGCAGACACTGTCTCCTCTGTGCCCTGGAATTGACCTCAAAAATTCAAGAATATTTCTAAAATTTTATCTTTTAGAAGGTGACTGCTGAACTAACATTAAGTAAGATTTCTAGGTTTCTTATAGTTTTGTTTGTTATGTCAGGCAGTTATTCTAAAATACTAACAAACAAGAGCTAACACCCTTAAAACACTTATTTTCAAGAAGCTTTAGGCAGCCAGTGTCAATTTTGAATGACTGCAATCGACTGTCTTGATATGCAACATTTATTATACTGCCTGTACTAATGATACAATTTCACAGTATTTTACAAATGTAGCTTTTTGACAACACTTTGATTTTGCCCAAGAGCATTCCTCATGTCATAGTTTCAGATATTCATTTATCCTGAGTAGGACTTCCTGCTTTCCATACAAACTTTACTGGACCTGACAGAAGTGTACATGAACTGTACCTTTCTATGAACCTGATATGAAGCCAGAACATAAATGCAGCATAAAAAGTGTAACAACCTGTTTGTATATTTATCACTAGAAGTCAAGGTTTCTTACCATAGGCAGCAGGTATGGGTGGTTCCAGGGGTGGGTGCCCATTACCAGAAGGAAGGTCAAAGCGAGTGAAATCTCTACTTTTGTCATTGTTGTACTTTACCTTTAGGCTAGTTAATTTGGAGAAATCAACACGCAGAGTGCAGCACGCAGTGTACATATTTTGGCCATCCAGACCCTGAAGAAAAATAATTACGTTTTCAGAAACAAACCACTTAGTGGCAGCCGACACTGTAAGTTTATTTTATTTTCACCTCCCAGTTGTAACCAAACAGAAATTCACCTTCTGTTTATAAGGTTTTGCTTTTAAACACCAAGCAGACAATTTTACTGCCACTATCCCTACCCAAACTTCCTGTGTAGAGTACTAGTGTAGTCCACTATTTAGTAAGCATTATGTTGCCTTGTGCCAATGGACAAAACCTAGCTCCAAGCATGACTTGTCTTTCTAGCTATGCTTCTACTTGTACCTGTCTCCCATTCAACACACGGTATCAGATGTTAGTAGTGATATTAATTTGGAGATTTTTATTGTGCAGCACTGCCCCTTACATAAGCTGGTGAGGGGTCTGGAGAACAAGTCTTACGAGGAGCAGCTGAGGAAGCTGGGGTTGTTCAGCCTGGAGAAAAGGATGCTGAGGGCAGACCTTATCACTTTCTACAACTACCTGAAAGGAGGGTGTAGTGAGAGGGGTGTTGGTGTCTCTTCCCAAGTAACAAGCGATAGAACAAGAGGAAAGGGCCTCAAGTTGCACCAGGGGAGGTTTATATGGGTATTAGGAAAATTTTTTCAGCAAAAGGACGGCCAAGCACTGGAACAGGCTGGAGGTATTTAAAAGATGAGTAGATGTGGTGTTGAGGGACATGGTTTAGTGATGGACTTGGCAGTGCTAGGTTCACAGTTGGAGTCGATGATCTTAAGGGTCTTTTCCAACCTAAATGATTCTACAAAATCCATCTTTTTAAGAGCAGCCATGCACAGAAAGAGCACTGAAGCAGTATTTTCTGCTTATACCAGTCATAAAAGAATCATGACGGATGAAGGGGAAAAAACCCACTCAAAAGATACTGGATTGTTATAATTACTTAATATAATCTAAACTATAATTTATGTGAAATATTTAATAAGGCATAAGTTATTAATAATGCTGTTCTTCAAGAAAAGATGCTATTGCTAACAAACAGGCTGTAATCCCAACTGCCTTTACTAATTTCCAATATATAATTGATCTCTAAAACACATAGAGAATTTACGTACTGGACTAAAGTGCAGGTAGCAAAAGATAAATATTCTGTGCCTTTTATTCTTCTACATACCTTCTATGGGAACTTTCAAATTGATTTTATTTATTTACTAATATTGAGATGACCACATAGCTTAAAGAGAAATACAAAGTGTCTCAGGTAAGTGAATTATTTTATTTTCTGTCTTTAATTTTTACTTCCACAGTTCAAGTATTCTAAGTGATGATTTCTAACACTGCTGTCCCTTCTGAAAAAAAAAATAATCTTGGAGGTCTCAGGTATCAATTTCATTAACAAACTAATCCCTACTGAGGAAATTGACAATATTTTCTAGAAATGAAAATATTTAGCTATTATAAGGAAACTAATTCTGAAAGTTGTTTTGAAAAATAACCTGTGTTTGGTTTACATGGTAGTGGAAGTGCTGCTGCCACTGTGTGGGAAGAGACATGGGGCTGCCCTATGCTGGATGGAGTGAATTCCAGCTGGCTCCAAAACAGATCTGCCGCTGCCCAAAGCGGAGCCTGTCAGAACGCTGGTGGCGCCTCCATGATAATATGTTTTAAAAAGGGTAGAAAACACTGTGCAACAACTGGGAGAGAGAGGAGTGAGAAAAATGTGAGAAAAACAACCCTGCAGATGCCAAGCTCAGAGGAGGGGAGGGAGGAGGAGGCGGTCCAGGTGCCAGAATAGAGATTCTCCTGGAGAAGATCATGGTGATGCAGATTGACCCCCTGCAGCCCATGGAGCTCCACAGTGGAGCAGATATCCACACTGCAGCCCCTGGGAAGGACGTATGTTGGAGCAGTTTGTGATGGACTGTATTCCATGGGGAGGACCCACGCTGGAGCAGGAGGTCAGTGTGAGGAAAAAGGAGCAGCAGCAACAAAGTGTTATGGACCGACCACAACCCCCATTCCACATCCCCCTGTGCTGCTCCGGGGGGAGAAGGTGGAAGGGTTGGGAGTGAAGCTGAGCCCATTAAGAAGGAATAAGCATGAGGGGATGGTAGGTTTACTTTTGGTTTTGTTCCTTACTATTCTACTTTATTTTTAATCGGCAATAAATTAAATCGATCTTCTCGAAGTTGAGTCCATTATGCATGTGAGTGTAATTGGTGAGTAATCTCCCTATCCTTATCTCGACCCATGAAGTTTTTCATCTTAATTTCTTCCCCTGTCCTGCTGAGGAAGGGGAGTGAGAGCAGCTTGCTGGGTGTCTGGCAGCCACCCAAGGTTAGCCCACCACAGAAAATATACATAAAGTAGGTGAGCTTTTCTTCATTACTCAGAATGTGCATTTTAAAAATCAGGGTACAGCTCATCTGAAATTAAGAAGTTTAAGGTGAAAACATCGATTACTGCAAATTTCGCACTGAAATTCAAACAAGTGAAACATGTAACATTCATCTAATCTCTGGGTGTTTAACTAAACTACTAGTATTGAACTGCACTGAAAATATTCCATTTAGTCTGAAAGAAAAAAGAGATTTTGGTCAATTATGGCTACTTTGGTCAAAAACATGGCTACTGACATCTCTGATTTTTGTTTTGGTAGATTCATGCAGGTCTTGGGGCATGTGCTATATAACTATGTTTGCAGTTGATGATAGAGTGCTATGATCTTAAGCAATAAGGGATGCCTAAGTTACTCATGTACAACAGGAATGTTAGAACGATGAGAAGTTATAAAGTTAATGATCAAGCTAATGTTCCCCATTTTGTTTGGAGATAGAGGGGGGCAGGGAACCAACAAAACGGGAAAATGAGTGAGTGAGTCAAGCTGAACACACTACACTTACCATTTTGGCATAAAATGCATTCATTGGATCAGCATACTGGAGCAAAGCTTGGAACTGATTGTTCTTAGTGAAGGTGACAATCTTCAAAACAGATCCAAATTTAGAGAAAACCTGAGAAGGAAAAACACAGACTTTTAGAAACAATCAACAATCCATGCACACTAAAAACTAGCTATTAAAAACATTTAATACTTCATATAAATTTCTGAAAATTCTTTCTTTTGTGAGAGCTGAACAAAAATTGAGTGAATACAGGATTTTGGTTCAGGTTAAAAAAAATAATTTAAAAAGAGGCTACAAAAGATGGAGAAGAAGGACAAGATTTCCTTGAAGATTTATCAATGACTGTTCAACAAAGAGCAGGGAAGGCCAGCCCAAACAGGCATTTGTCCAATGTCTGCAGAGGAATTATGGATAATCAAAGTTGAGGTTTGAGAAGTGGACTTTCACAAGTCAGTTGAGATGGGAACTGCAAACTTCCTTTCTAGGCATCCAACTTTACATTCTGTGCTTCACACAAATTCTGCAAATTTTCTGACAAAAAAAATTTCTTATATAGTTGATGTGCATGAAAATTCATTATGAATACCTACTGTCCAAGTTAGAAGACGAAGGAAAAAAGCAAGACAAAGACCTGTGTTAGGACCTACCACTCTAATTTACAATTGAACAGTATTTGATTTATTGCAAATGCAAGCATTGCAGAAAAATCTTAAAAGATTGAAATTTATATACACTCGAAACGACAGTGTCTGCTACATGAACGTGTCTATGCAAAAGCAAAGTTACAAAGAATCAGGACAAAAATATAGCTACGACTTATGATGCAAGTGCAGAAAAACTATGACCAAATTAACAGTGGAAGAGGAAAGATGATTTGGGGGGAAGTTCTAACAGTTCTAGAACAAACTGTTAAGAATCGATGCAAAGTCAGGAAAGTAGTATCCTGCCCACAGACAACTATTGAGCCTGGAATGGAAATAAAGGCCAGAGATAGGGACAAGCATCTTTGGCTAGCCTATTAGGCCTAGAATCAAGGATACAAGAAACACTGACCCAGCTCTTCATGCCTAATTTTTCAGCCTGTCAGAAACAAGGTTTTTAGGCTGCAGTCATTATTTTGTGGTAGAAGACAGAACGATTGCTTTTTCACAGCAATTTAAAATGAGCGAGTTCCTCTTCATAAAGCACTTCCCCTTAAGTAAGACCTAAATACAGCTTCTGAATGTGTGGTTTTCCATGTTTATCCAGAAGACTAAATCAAGGTAATGAAATTAAATGCATTTCTGTTCCGTTTTAAACCTAAAACCACAGTATATACCAATTTTGCTTCTGCCAATACAACACTGAATATTCCGTTTCTTATAATAAATATTTTAAGGTGAACTTTGGCAAAAAAAAAGTGTTTGTTTCTTGACAAGCAGTTATAACTTACAAAATACAATCAAAGTTTTGGATGACAACTTGCTTACTAGTGTTCCATGTGATGCTATACTTATCAGTGAAAATTTTCATTTCCATTACCCTTACCACACTTACAAAGTAAAGTTATATTGTACCTATCAGGAACAAAGTACTACTTTAATTAGAGGAGATAGCCCCCTGTTAAGAACTCCAAATAAGATCCCTTTTCAAATATTGCTTAATTTTCTAGACCTATTGCAAAAGTAGGTGAGGCCAATTCCAAGACTGAAAATACAGTTCTGCTGCGCTGAAGTATACATTAATCAAAGAAAATTAACATGAATGTCCTCTTCCACTGTCGGCTTAGTAAAAAACAAAAAACCCCCAAATCCACAGATGGTTAGATCCGGGAGTTGCTGTTGCACTATTAAACTAGTACAACTCCCATAACCACAGATGCTTGTCCTCAGGTTATTCTGAGTGTGCTAATAATCCTAAACAGTTGACATAGTATTTGCACAAGCTCACTAAGTGAACAATACTGATATATAAATAAAAGTTTAGATCAGGCAAATTGCTACATCAAAGTGACAACTACTATACTAGTTAATCAGTATCAAAGAGGGGAGATACTGAGGAAGAGGATATATTAAAGGGTAAGAGGATGAAGTGTTGGTAACAACCAACTTTTGTTTGAGATGCTACTAAAGCAGCAAAAATCTTCTTCCAGGACTGCAGGTTCATGTGAAAACTTCCCAATTATTTAAATCACATTAATTTAAGAAACTCATATTCGGCGTGAGTCTTTACTGCACAAATTTACTAGCAATTACAAAAGCTTCAAATATGAAACCCTTTGCAATATCCAAAAAAAGGTATCAACAAATCTTTCAGGCGCAAAAAAACAGTCTTGTAAAGTTATTGATTTTAAATTTATAGTTCTCAACACCACAGCACAGCCACCTAGCAGGATTTATTGGTCTTTCATAGGTATAGCCCACCACTATTCCAGGCTTTCAGAAGTAGTTAAAGTAAATGGCATTCTAAAGTTGATGAACAATCAAAAACATTTGCCCAAGCAATTACACTTGTCTATTACATCACTGGCATTGTATTATAAAAATGAATAAAAACCCCTAAAATATAATGCAGACTACAAAACTTGCTCAGTGTGAAGAGTGCTAAAATACTGGTCCACAACTTCATAACAATCAGTGTTTCACTAGTTTGTCATGTGGGCATACATTAGAAGTAACACTTCAAGTTTGTTGTTGCTTCCACAGAAACCAAACTTAAAAAAATGAAAGACTAAAAAACTAAAAAAAAACCTAAAAACCTAAAAACCCTAAAACCCCTAAAAAAACTAAAAAGGAACTGAAAAAAAAGACAACATGAAAATCTGAGTACAGAAGCTCTGTTTACTTTTAATTTTTTTGTGCAAAACTGATTCAGGCCTAGATTCCTGAATTACAACAAATCACTTCAAAATGACAGTCCTCATTGAAATGACTAAGGATCCACAGGTTCTTTAAAAAAAAAAAAAAAGAAAGAAAAAGAAAAGTTAAAATTAATGGATTTACAATGGCAACATTGGAACAGATTTTTTTTAGCAATCGTCATTACCTGATACAGCATTTCTAAAGTGACAGGGTAGAAAAGGTTTTCAACAATGATTCGAAGAACAGAACCTTGACTTGGAAGGACTTCTCTGTCAGCACTAACAGCCAGGTTTCCGGACTGCATAGCGTTCACAGCTTGCAACGCAGCTTTGACTCTCTGAAATCATGGCACAGCAGACACCACAATTTACTTATACGCATACACATTATTCACATCTAAACAAACTTCTCTTAAAAAGAAAAAGCATGTAGAATGTACTTGAAATGCAACTTTTAAAAAACATATTCCCTTTACTGGATTATCAATTCGATAGGTAATTTTGTTAGGTTAATAGGTAAATCATACCTCTTCCTCTCCTCTAAAAGAAGTCAGATCATACTTTCACAGAATTACAACTTTCTCTTTTAGTTAAATCGTTAGTATTTTGCAATGCCATATAGACACAATTTTGCTTTGATTCAGTAGGCTTTTGCCATTCTAGGGATTTTCCAGCAAATCAATTTGATGACAATATTGTAATAGACTGACAACCAGTCAGGGTACCAAAAAATATTTTCCCTGCTTTATTAGGATTTCATTCTCTTAAGGATGCTTAAGGATGCATACCCTGCTCTTTTTTCTGAGCACAAAAAAAAAAAAAACCCCAAACAAACCAACCCACCTTTAAATCTCACTCCTCAAACTGCCTCACTGGGACTTTGGAAGTCTCTACGCTTGTTTTTGATGGGCTTTCCTCAAAAAGGTCTTCAGACTACCTCTGAGACCACTATGGAAATAATGTTGTTTTCCAAATGTAGTTTTGTGACCTGAAGTCATGTCTCAGAAACGCTGTTTCCTTGGAAGATGGTCTAAACATGGCACACGGTACAGATGTTACCTAGTTTCAGAAATGTTACCCTGCAAAATAGTCTGTACTTAAGGCCTAAGCCTAGACACTAGGTCAGTAACATAGTGTTCAGCTGCTATGCTATGGTCTCTAAAATTTAAATAAAACTCAAATGGAAGAGTCATAAGTGGAAATAAAATAAATAATTAAAAAGTAGACAACGTTGCTTTTACAGAAAGAAAAAGCAAGTGTCATGCACTGAGCTGAAAATACTCTGAGGAACAGATACAAGGGGTCTTATTTGCAAATATGACTACAGTTTTCCTGGGGCTGTTACATACACCACATCCTTTAAGAAGTCTTGTTAATTTATTTGTTTTTACAGATGGCAAACCAATCCAGCAATCTTGGATGAGGAAAGAGACAAATAAGATTTATCAGCTTGCAAAATTTCAGTGACTTTTGTGTCAGCACAAATTAAAAATAAGCACCGATTTTTGCCCCAGTCACTACTTGAAACATTCTTACAGAAACCAAAACTGTGATATACACACCACAATATATAATTTATGTATCTAAATGGGAGGTCAACTGCAATTCATCCAGCAATCCAATCATATCAGTATGATGGTGTGTATACTTTGATCTTGCTGTGCAAAGGGTGTTTCCTTTGTTAGAGACTAGGATTTAAATCACTTATCTACAATATTCAATTCATATTCATGAGAATTCAATTTTTGGTACTTAAAAAAATACAGGGAAAAAATTAGTTCTGCTGTTTGGCATGAAGTTACACATAAAACTGATGTTTTATAAGTATCCATTTTACTGGATCTAGGGTTCTTAGGATAAACAGTTGACAGTAAAAAAACCCCAATACTATTATGAATCTACTTGAATAACTTCACGATTATTTTCTTTTCCTGAGTGTGGCAAGGCCTTGGAACAGTGCCAACAATAAAAACCTTACAAAAACCAGTTAAATGACCTCTCACAATAACATCCATATCTGATAAAGTAAAAAACTTCAAAAGAGCTGCTTTTGGGGCAGAAAGTAGATCATCATGACAGTTGGGTTTGTTCTTCCATGTGTTCCTCAGATAGCATCTACAGACCTATGATTAGCAATTAAGCTTAAGAAAACATAAACATACAAAATTGAAGTGGTGTGGTTTTGTGGCATTCTTGGTACTGTATTACAGACACAGTAACAGGGGGGAAAAGAATCAGAGAAAGGATTTACTGGAGAAGACGTTATTTTCTTCATATTCTGAAGCTATTGAGAGCTGTTACCTAATGTTAAAACTTAGAAATGGCAAAAGTTCGTTCAAATCATACTGTAAGCAAGTATTTCTAAGTGTAGAATACAATGGCTGGGTCATTTACAGTATGCTGCTTAGGACTGTCTCCAGTCACATTTTTAAGGTATCTGAGGATGGAGACCCCAAAACTGCTCAGAACTACCCATTCCCATGTCTGACCCTCCTATACTGAGGAGCCCAGGACCGGACACAGTGTTCCAGATGTGTCTCATCTGTGTTGAGAAGAAGGGAAGGTCACCTCCCTCAGTCTAACAGCAATGCTCTGCCTTCTGCAGCCCAGGACATTGCTGGCCACCTTTGCTGCAAGGGCACGTTGCCTCCCAGGACCCCCAAATCCTTCTCTGCCTTTCCAGCTGGTTGGCCCCAGTGTATGGTGGTACCTGGGGTTACTCCTATCCGGTGCAGGAGTTGGCATTTCTCTTTGTTGAACTTAACAAGGTTCTCCTGTCAATCCATTTCTCCAGCTTTTCATGATCCCTCATCTGATCCCATCATGAGGTCTCTGATGAGACCATCTGGGGTCTCAACTACTCCTCTCAGTTCTGTGTTGTCTGCAAACTTGCTGAGGATGTTTCCCATCCCATCATGCAAGACATTAATGAAGATGTTAAACAGCATTGGACACAGTATCAACCCCTAGGTTACCCCACTAGCGATGGGTCCCCAGATGGACTTCATGCCACCGGTCACAACCATTTTGGCCTTTCAGATCACCTTACAGTCCACTTATCTAGATTGCATTTAATCAGTTTGCTTATTGGGATGTTACAGGAAACAATGTTGAAAGTCATATCAAAGTCAACATAAACACCATCCACTGCTCTCCTCTCACCCACCAAACCAGTCATCTCACCATAGAAGGCTATCACATTGGTCAGGGATTACTTCCTATTCAAAAACCCAGGACGAATTTCCCAACCACCTTCTTGTCCTTAGAATATTTGGAAACAGTTTCCAGGATTAGTTGCTCCATTGCTAAGGAAAGGCTGATCAGCCAGTGGTCTCCTGGATACTCCTTCTTTCCATTCTTTAAGTCAGGAGGGATTTGCTCTCTTCTAGTCCTCAGAAACCTCCTCCAATTGCCATGACCTTTCCAAGATTGTAAGAGCGGCCTTGCAATGACATCAGCCAGCACCCTCAGCACTCACAACAGCACTTCATTGTGGCCACAGACCTTTTTATCCACTTGTTTATCTAGTTTGTTTAAATGTTCCCTAATGAGATCCTTCTCTACTTCCTTCATCAAGACATTCCCACTGTTCTCAGTTACTTGGTATTCCCAAGGGCAAGACTGAAGGCTGAGGAGAAGGTATCCAGTACTTCAGCCTTGTACATGTCCAATGTCCGCATGTCCAAAGTCTGACTGCTGATACACTTTGAAGAGCCTTTCTTGTTGCTGTTCCCTTGCTAGAGCCAACTCCATGTGGGCTTTGATTTTCCAAACCACATCCCTGCATGATCAGATAATGTTTGATATTCCTCCTGGGTCACCTATCCGGGATTCTACTTTTTCTATGCCTTTTTTTTTTTTTTTTAATGTTTGAGTTCAGTCAGGAGCATCTTGTTCATCCAAGTAGTCCTCCTGCCACCTTCACTTGATTTCCTGCTCATCAGGATGAACCACTCATGAGCTTGAGCTCCTCTACAGTTATTTTACAGACATTGAGAAGTCCCTGTCTCAGAAGATACTGCCTGGATAACAACTAACAGAAATAATATCTATCAGAAATTGACTATTGGTGTAGTGGAAAGTAGTCCATTTAATTACCAGTGTTGTGGTTTAACCCTGGTAGGCAGCAAAGTGTCACACAGCTGTTCAGTCACTTCTCCCCAGCAGGATGGAGGAGAGAATCAGAAGGGTGAAAGTGCGAAAACTTGGGGGCTGAGGTACCGACAGTTTAATAGGTAAAGCAAAAGCTGCATGTGCAAGCAAGGCAAAATAAGGAATTCCTTTACTACTTGCCATTGGCAGGCAGGTATTTCACAATTTCCAGGAAAGTAGGGCTCCATCATGCATAACAGTTACTTGGGAAGAAAGACACCGTAACTTTGAACATCCCACCTTCTTCCTTCTTCCCCTGGCTTTCATTACAGAGCACAATGCCACATGGCATGGGATATCCATTTGCTCAGTTGGGGTCAGCTGTCCTGGCTGTGCCCCCTCCCAACTTCTCGTGAGCTCACACTGGCCGGACAGTGCGAGAAGCAGAAAAGTGATGCTATGTAAGCGTTACAAGCTACTACGAAGAAAATTAACTTTATCCTATCCAAAACCCATAGGCAACTCATGTGCAATTCTATCCCGTTAAATCAAAATATTATACTTACAGCCCGATTAGGCAGATTGTCAGTCTTAAGTTCTCTGTGATTGGAATACTGAATATAAACAGGCTGGTGGCGGAGTTGAGCTACAGCAGGGGTATAGTAGTTCACCATACTAACAGCAGCTTCTTCAGAAGCCATTTCCAAAAATGCCTGCAACCAATACATAGCAGTTTTTAGTGTTGTTTTGTTTACAGGAGAGAGCAAAGCATCAAAGCACCATTTATTCCCAATTCCACTTTCACTAGGAACAGATCGTATGAAAGTACAGTACTGATTTGATCAGCATTACAATGCATTTGTGTGTGCCTGTTTTGGGGGATATTTGATTTGTGCATTTTCTTAAAAGGTTTTACATTGTAAGTACAGTAAGTGATTAAAGAAGAAGTGAAATAAGTCAAACATATGGAAAGCAATGCTGCTAAAAATTCCACACTGCTAATTAATTTATTAGATTCCTGAACCCATGCACTATTACCTAGGTAGCAGATACACAAACTGATTGAAAAAGTAGGAAACAGGACACAGAACATCTATCAGTTTGTGTATTATATTAACCCAGCTCAGTGCTCTAGACAATTTCTGAATGAATGTCTACAACTTTATAAGATTTCAGTGTTTATTCATGATGTAAACTATCCTGTTGCATCCAAGAAGATTTAAAAGAAAACCTAAGCAATTTTTTTCACATTAAAAAAATAACATACATGTTAATTATTTAATCAGGCAAGTTATTTCAAGACATATGATGCCATCAACAGGACAACATAATTCTTTATCATCTATATATTCTTATATAAGGTGTTTAGCAACCTTATTAACAAGTTACTGGATCATTATATAATCCAAAAGCATATTATGATCTGAAAATAAATATCAAGACATCCTTTCACATTTAAAAATATGAAACTCTTGAGCTATCAATGAAATATTTAGGCATTGTTGCAATCACTTCAGCCAAATGTAATACCAAAAGGGTTATAACATGAACATCTTCAGCCTTCCTCTGATAATTGAAACACTGAAAATAACATACCTGACTTCTTCCTTTTAGCATCAAGAGGTTGGTTACTTTGCCAAAAGGGAGGCCTAATGAAATGACTTCTGCTTCAGTAACATCACTTGGAATTTGACGAAGATGAAGAACACGTGAAGGGGAACATGGCGATCTGTCTCTTTTTAAATTCTTCTTTTTATTCGCTTTATCTAAAATATTTTAGGGAGGGGGATGGTCAAGCAAACAAGACAAACATTGCACAGTATACTTATCAAAACCTAAGGGAGATAAACTGCTGTCTCAGGACTGCCATGGATTTATCTATAGCTCTTTGAATCCTAAGAAAGGACAGTTGATATATAACTAAAGGACAGTTTAAAAAGACCCCTTCAGCTGTTCCAAATCTCCACTGCAAGAGGAGTGCATGGTGTGTTTGTTTTACTTTGGTTTCAGTTTGTTTATTTTCTGGTGTGTGTGTGTTTGTTTTTTTAAGTCTTAGCACAGAGAGGCCAATAACTTCTTTCCAAATGCCAGTGTAACATATTCACAAGATGTTAATTACACAGAATAAGAACAATTAGTATTTGGGAGGTAATATACTCATTTTTTTTATTACTAGCTAAATTTCCTGCATAGTGTGTTTCTTAATTAGATTCAATTACTACCTCAAGTAAGTTTTTATTTCATTTTATTAAAGAAAGCCTGCTGTCCTACATGATTGTAAGTTGTAAGAAGTCTTTGAAAAGGACAGACAGCAGTGAGGCATGAAATCTGTACAAATCCTAAAGTCTTCCACCTTGGCAAACTGCCTTTTTCTTTTTTTTTAACATATGCCTATTTGAATCCTGTAACAGGTGGTTAGCCAATGGTTACATTTCAAGGAGATGACTCGGAGTCCTTCAAATCACTTATAAGCAGAACACCACATCTGGAACAGGCATATTGTTCTAGAAGCTATCACAATGGTGTAATAACTTAAAGTTGTAAAAATGAAATCCATTATCCAAACTAGAGGTGCCATTAAGAGATTCTCCTAAAGCAAGCTACAGAGGCTCATGAGGCTTGGTCAAAAAAAATACCCGAAACAGAGATGAAAGACAGCATATTTGATGGAAATCGTATTGAAGTCTAACTGCATATGACTTCAGTTAAAGGAAGAAACAGCATTCTTTTTTTACTTATATGCCAGAAACACCTTCACTCCAACAAGTGAGATAGCCCTCACTTTGTTGCATTTAGCCATCCAAGGAGAATCACACAAGATTTGTAAAAAATATCTGTATGAGCTTAGTAATTTCAGATTTTGCTGTAGGTTTTTGAGTACAGTCTAAGGCTGAGACACAGTTCATGCAAGTCATCCTTTATAAAAATCTTTACAGAGTTGTGTTTTTTTATGGTAGTGGAAGTCTGTAAAACTCCAATTTAGAAGACCTAAGCTCCAATCATGGCACACTCATAAGTATAGTTAACTTAATTCCCTCACCTGCAAAACAGAAAATCTGTTGAACATTGACTTTTCCATCAAGAAATTTTAAATGGCATCATGTGCTCTGTGAGCCTTCTGAAACACATGAACATGTGGCACACTTGCCAGGGGATGAGACTTTAAGACAAACAGAAACATACTAAGCATACATCAGTACAAAGCCAGGACTATTGAAGCCTAACAACCCATCCTATTTTGTTAAATCTACTTTTCGGGTTCAAAAAGGACAAGATGTCCCTGACTTTACTAAGTCAAGGACTGTTTGACTAAAGAAAGCAAGAAATGAAACCTAAAAGGAGTTTTGCCTTTAGTTTAAGATGAGAGACTCTCACAGAAGCAATACCTGTCTGTGTTGCTGCTCAAGAAGTTCTGGAAGCAGAGCAGAAAGCAGGAACAAGAACACCTGAGGGAATCAAGCTTAACTCTTTATCATGAATCCATATAATGTGCCCTACATTCCACCAAACTGAGACTGACATAGAATATTCATCTTCTGTCTCTGACAGTCTTGAAATACTTCAAAACAAATTCCTTTCAAATGCACAACTACAGGAAAAATGAGTAGGCACTTGAGATTCTGTACAGAAGGCTACTGGCTTGGTCATGGTTATAGAAAATAGTTATTTTTTGCCCATTTTAACTAGTCAGTTTTGGAGGTTGTCAATACTGTCACTGAATTGGATAGACTCCAGTGTCTCTACTGTTGGAGTCAGATTAGAGTTCAGGCTTGGTAAGGCTGCTAATGGTAACAATAAAGAATAAAAAAAAACCAAAACATTTACAGAGAAAAAACACACTGTTGAAAAAGAATTGTGATTAAAATCTTTTTTAATGTATACCTGTAGCTGGAGTGGAATTACTCATGGTAAAAGGTCTGTTACTGACACCAGAAGAAAGAGGCTTGTCAGGTCCACACTGAAAAATAAAATATAAGATTACTAGTAAAAGCTGTTACAGAGAAAGAGTTTGATATAAAAGCACAGCAGCTACTGAAGTTTTTGCTTCCCAAGAACCATGCCTTTCTATACACATTATCCACTTTTGCTGTGAACTTATTTTTCAGGAAAAAAATGCCAACCACACCACTTTTCATTCTGCCTCAAGATCTTAGCAAGTTCTTATTTCTCTAATTATTTATCCTACTACAGTTTGTATTTTAAAGATCAACAATAAAAAATATTTATAAAGAGAAATGAGCTGGCTTCAGGCTCTGGGTCTGCAATACAACATTTTTTTCCAGATACGAGTAAACACACAGATAAGGTCAGCATTTGTGACTGGACACAGTGGACCTTGAGCAAAAGTAACTCATGGCATACTTAAATATGCCTATGGCACTTTTTTTTTTTAAACCTAATTCTTGTCCTAAGAATTTGATGGTGGATATTTAGAAAAAATACTGAAAATCAAAGTGTTGCTTTAAGAATACTGACAATTTGAGGCTCTAATTACTAAGAGAGAAGAGTTTGAGCACTACAGGTTATTTAAAAAAAATAAAATCAGTCCCCAGCTGTCAGTTAAATCTGCTCCACAGGACTGCTCTAGTACGCCAGCTAAGCATCAGCTTCAAAACACCAAGAAGAAACAAGGTACCACACCACCTCTGAAAGGCAGTTAAGGTTCCTGAAACTTTCACCACACTCTTCCATAAAAGCATTTTCATGAGAAAGCTGAGACTAAGGGAGTGGTTCTACAAGATGGAATAAGCTGACCCAAACAGCTCCTCACCACTTTCATTTCCCTTGCCCCAGCATTCCCACCTCCTCATGGTCATCAGCTGCTTAACTTGCACCAGCTCTGGTGCCCAAGAGATTTTCCATGAGTCAATCCTCCAACCTGCTGAGTTAGGTTAGTTGGTTTATCAGCTGAAATAGGGGGTTGAAAAGTGCCAGGATCCAGTGCAAAGAAAGGGGTAGGGATACTTGAAGAGGGGATGGGACGAAGAAAGCACCCCTTTGGCAGCAGCACACCATCATGTTGGGTTATATAGGCTGTGGAAGCACCACTCGTGAAGGACTGGTTTATAAGCTGTGTCTCTGCTGAAAGGAGCAGTTTGGTTCTTTTCATCCTTACAATTAACCATGTGTTCCCGCTGCTTCCCCCGTCTTGGGATGGTCATCAACAACAGAGGGCCCTGACTAGGTTAGGATGCTGGAAAAACCTTTTCAGCAAAATTTAGCTGCTTGTGAAGCAGCACAGGTGTTAGTGTGGGATGGAGGAAAACATGACTGTGTTCATTCCTCTCTGGCAGCAGTACAGACTTACTACTGTTTGCCATGAAACTGCATCTTGACAGTATATTTAAATGCAATGTCTAATTGTGGTAAACACTCTGAGAAATCATTTTTACATTAAAAATAAATGAAAAATACAGAAAACGTATTTTAAAGAAATTCCAATTCTATTCATTTTGAATGGCCACCAATTAAATCCATCTGCAATAAAATTACAGGCTCATGTAAAGAGCAGCCTACTCAGCTGAGCAATAGAGTATACCATACATCATACAGTCCAAGTTACACTTCTTTGGATGGTCACATTTTAAACTAATCTCATTAAAGCTTGCCAGTGAAATGGTTACTAGTTGTCTGATGCGTATCACATTGTATTTGGATGGCTACTGGAATGTAATTAACTTCCAAAACCAGTATTAATCTTTAGTTATTAGAAGTACCTTGAGAACGCCAGCATCCAGGTATTGAACATCTAAATAACATATTTTGATTGTAAAATGCAAATCTTGCTAATTAAACAAAAGCAGCACTATGTGGAGCTAGTAATTGGTAGCAAGTGTTAAGAGTGGTTTTTAATAAGCCAACCCTTCCTTCTATTTACAAGAGGGCAGAAAAACCCTCACTAGTGCTGTAACTCCAGTTGTAAGGGCTTTTAGCTTGTTTTTTAATTTAGCCTTTATTCAACAGAAGAAATCTCTGCATTTTTCAAAAAGACTGTAAAAAAAACTTGGTGTTTCAGCACAGAAGACTCTGGCAGCAGGTACCTTTTTTGAGAAACTTACAGTTATTCTGTGGTTTTTTTATAAACCCTGGCCCCAAATACATCTATTATTTTGACAAATAAGTTAATTTCAAGGATTTAACATGTATTCTCACAGTTTTGTATTTAATTTTCTATGCACTCATATAAAAAACCACAACACACTTTTTCAGAAAAAAAAAAATCTGTTGTCTTCCGCTTTTAAAAGCCATCTTAGTTGATTCCACTCAGGATTTAAAAAAGCATCTTGGCTTGTGAATATAGTAGATTCTGGTTTCTGCACTATGTACTTGTAGTTTATGCAGAAGTTAGGAAAATGTGTAATGGCAAGATTTTTACAAATTAATATAAGTTGTCTAGTTATTAGTTTACAAATTAGAAAAATCTGTAAGTTATGCGCTGTTAGACATACATATTTCATGGAATTTATAATTTACAACAAAATATGTTTAGTTTTCAGCTTAAATTGTATTGCTTGCATCAATAACTTACACCATTAGATACTTCGTATGTTTGGCACATGAAAATACAACTGATAAATGTGACCGTGATTTCCAGGAAAAGTTCCTAGAGGATACCAAAGAAAATATTAACTAGCTGTGAGGAGTTAGAACAGAACACCATGATGAGAAGACAGATCTTAAAAACAAATTGCAAAGATGAGAACTTACTATCGGAGATGATACTGAAAGTCTATAAATCAACCATAATAGCACTGATAATTTTTCTCAGAACAAGTTCTAGTATATTCCAAAAGAAAATGTATGTAACCTTCTCAAGAACCATTCATCCTCTCTAGGCCACCCTATCACTAGAGTTTCATCAAGTTATACTACTGCTTGGGAGATTGTGCTGTAAAACCATGAAGCAATTCCATGCTAAAAAGACACACACACATAGAGAAACACAATTCAGATGGCTGCAGTGATCTGTATTGCAACTCTCTGTAAAACTGTCCTGTCTCCATACAGCTGAAGCTGTAGAATCATAGAATCACAGAATCGTCTAGGTTGGAAGGGACCTTAAAGATCATTTAGTCCAACCATCAACCTAACTCTGACAAAAAAATAAATAATAAATAAGCAATAAAAAAACCCAAAACCACTAAACCATATTCTTGAGGACCAAGAATATTGTTGCTTACCAAGAATATGGTGTAGCTCACTGCAGCACAAAATAACTGCTCCAGGATGGGGGACTAAACCTGCTTCAACAGCGGAAAAATTATACCACAAAATTACAACCTTCAGTCATGACACACACCTGTACCTACACTGATACATTATTCAATCACCATAGAAACGCACATGTTTGGGATGTGCATGTGTTGGGGATATTCTGGATTAGTAAAGGAGAGCGAAACCACAAGCTCTAGTGACAAACTGCTAACTTAAAATCATTTGAAACTAAGGAGACATCTTAAAAGTGCAAGGAGGCAAAGAAGAATCCAGCTGTTCTTACACATTTTCAGGTCATCGATAACGGCCAGCATCCACAACATCAATTTCTGTGACCTGTTTTGCCAGGCAGCTACAGATGCAATCTCCCCATTTTAAATATTTACCTTGCCACAGCTTAATAGATGGTCTAAAAATACAAAACATATCCACTAAATGAAAGCTCTGAAGTACAATTCTAGTGCAAAACCAACTCCCTGTCTTTGGGATGCAACATGTGAGGCATAAAACTTCAGACTTTGACTAAAAATCAATTGAGAAGCATCAAACTCAAAACAACAAAGTCCTCT